AAAAACTTAAAAACCTTTCAAAACCAAAAATTCATATAAGTTTTATTCCTGGGAATTTCGAAAAAAGTAAGTTTCACATGTAAACATACACATTTATCCAATTTGTATTTGTGTTTGTATTATTGCCCACTGGATTATCAATTACCACCCCTTTATTTTGTTTTTTTATATATTATACATATTAGAATTTTACATGGAAGAAAAAATAATCAAAAATCCAACGATGTACCAAACTACATAAGTTACGGCGGCCATTATAAAAACAAAAGATGGTGATGGTAACTCAAAATATAGTTGGTCTTTATAAAAATATTTTTCAATATATTAAAATAACTAGTATAAATACGATAGTATAATTACTATAGCATAAAAATTAGTACCATTTAAAAAGTCATTAAAAAAAATATTTCCTAACAAAAAAAGATTTTTAAATACTATCAATTTGTTTACTATCGTATAAATAGTAGTACTAGTAGTAGTTTTTAAAAATATTCAATAAAAACAAAAACAATAAAAAATTAAATTATTCATTTTAATAGTAGTATTTATATAGTCCAGGAAATAAATATTGTAGAGGAAAACTCGATGGTAGTCGGGTTTTATTTTTTTTATGTAGAGTCAGAGGTGCTGATAATGAATCAAGAATATTCCTCAAAAATTTCTATCCGCGTCCCCTAATTTCATACCATGAAAGGAAAGTTCTTTTGCTTTTTGGCTCATAATTCGCTAACCGTGCATTTTTTCAGAATTTGTACTCAAATACTTTTGATTATGTATTAAATAAGACACACTTTAAACCCCATTGCGCACCTATATGATATGCCCCTTTGCTATGCACAGTGTGCAAAGTTGAGCGTTGCTTTCAAAATCACTTTTTTGTTTTTTTTATTATAGGCAAATTTTAAAATTAATCGATCCCAAACCTTACGGTAATCAAACATAACCGAATGGACGATTTTTTGAGGTACTAGACTTTTTTCAAAAGTTACTGCTTTTTAATGTATAGTCTCTACCCCTCTTATACTCATATACTTTTACTTTTTTTAATAAAAATATACCTTACATTTGTAATTTTAATATAAATTTATTTTATTCAAAAAGGTTTAATTTAACTCTCAACAAATGAACTTTTTGTAATTATAAGTACACTTCGTATTTACTAAACCGTCCCAGTCGAGTTAAATTTAATTGTAAAAATAAATAAACGTCAACATTGAATCACGGTGACTGTTTTAACGGATATTCGCCGATACATCATATGCCTTTTAATTTCCTTGCTGAGAAAAATAAATCAGCCAAAACAGCGATAAAGGTGGCATTTGATGAATGTCATACTCGATCGCGAAAATCGTACAACCATTTATTGGATACTTTGCTAAACGAGAACGTCTATCAGTCAAACGATGCGAATACCAAATCACACAAATAAATAATCGATCGATGATGATTTGTGGGATCTGGTCAATTGAATAAAAAAGGTATTTTTTATTTAGCCCTCCGTCAGGAGTTAATCCTTTTAAACAATTGGGTAATTAAAAAAATTATAATAAATTTATAATCGAATGCAAAAAACTTTTTTAAATGAAATTTAAAAAATAACAGCATCAGGCAATGTGTCCAATATATCATGTTTACTATATAGTTATACTCTCTTAAAATGAAATAATCAAAATTCTACGATTTAAATTTGTACCAGCATTGTTTACTAATAACATAGTCGTTTTCAATTTTTTACTGCTTAAATAGTTAAATAGAAGACTAATTTAAGATAAGTTACCATGTTTGACTGTTTGTAAGAGTAAAAAGTAACCAATCTTTTTAAATTAATGCGGCAAACAACAAATTATTGTTAGAATTACATGCATGTAAGCTCCATGGATAAATGACCCATAAAAACAAACAAAGATTCAAAAAGTTTACCTCAAAACAAAAAATATATTCAACTTTAAAATGTTTTGTGTCAAAGTAAAAGTGCTAAATAAACTTATTTTGTTTTATAAATAATTAATTATATAATTATAAAATTATTATTATTTTTGATTCGCAGAAAGTTATTTTATAAAGAAATAATTTTATAAAAAAAAATTATTTTATAAAAAAATAATTTTATAAAAAAAATTATTTTATAAAGAAATAATTTTAAAAAAAAATTATTTTATAAAAAAATGAGTTTATAAAAAAAATTATTTTATAAAAGACGACGGGCGCATTTATAAATTAATTTTTACTGCAGCCATCTCTATTTGTTTGTAGACACTCGAGTAAACCCGAGTAAACCCGAACGCCCCTCCCCAGATACAATTTTATGAAGGACTGGGCTTTTGTGTGACGCAATTGGGGGAAACGATTGAAAATAATAATTTATTATTTTTATTAATTAATTAATTAATTATCTACATTTATTTTGATTTTTAGTTTTTAACAAGAATTCTTTATGTTTAAACGTTTTTTATAAGAAAGCACTTTTAGTTAAATGCAAAACAAATAATGATTTACACCTTTAACTAATAATTATTTGTTTAAATCTATAAACTTTTACGGGAGGAAGGGAGAAAGGAGGAAGGCATGCGAGTCTCGGAGTCGAATTAAAGGTTAAGTTAATTTACTTTTAAAAATTCAGATGTTTAAACTGTAACTTAATCACTTTCAACAGTTAAAATCAAAATAAATGTAGATAAAAAATTAATTAATTAATTAATAAAAATAATAAATTATTATTTTTAATCGTTTCCCCAAATTGCGTCACACAAAAGCACAGTCCGTCATAAAATTGTATCTGGAGAGGGGCGTCCGGGTTCACTCGGGTTTACTCGAGTGTCTACAAACAAATAGAGATGGCTGCAGTAAAAATTAATTTATAAATGCGCCCGTCGTCTTTTATAAAATATTTTTTTTTATAAACTTATTTTTTTTTAACATAATTTTTTTTATAAAATTATTTTTTTATAAAATAACTTTCTGCGAATCAAAAATAATAATAATTTTATAAAGCATATAATTAATTATTTATAAAAAAAATAAGTTTATTTAGCACTTTTAATTTTGACACAAACGGCGCCTCATAGATAAATATAACTGAATTTTTACAAAGGTAGCAGTGGCGCAGCGGTTAAAAATCCATTTGATAAGCGACAAACCCGAGTTCAAATCCTGGCTGGGTCAAAACCTTTTTAAATTTAAATCTACTAATTTGACCATTTATTCCCTATACCTAAAGTTAATAATTTTAGAGATATTTAACAATTTCTTAAATTTTAAATATTATTTTGTATCAAGAAACCTTATGGTTACCACGTAATTTGTCATTGTTTAAAATTTAACGGCATCAATTTTACAGGTTGCTATAAACAATTTGTTGACTAATTAAGTGGCTTATAAGCAATATTACTGATAAGAAATAGCAGTTGCTATTTTACCAGCTTTCAAAATAGTAGTGTTAAAGAATATACTTATAAAGATCCCATGTTACAAAAAATCTAAATTGCATTTTTATAAATATATATATGTTTTGCAAATTGGAATTTTGGAATAACAAACAATTTTTAAAATTATGAACAATTGGAAAATTATTTAATTATATGCTACACTACTCGTATGTTTGTTATTGTTTTAAATGCAATTTGCTTTGTTTAAAGCAAAATTGTTGACATTTACATTTAATTAATGTAAATTGTTTGTTTATTTTTGTTGTCCTCATTGGAAATAAAGCTTTATATAAAATCTGAATTATTAATTATAATATTAATACAAACTATTAATTTGATTTTATATAAATAAACTAACTATGTTTATGCATAAGAGTTATTTTTAGGTCGTTTAATTATAATTATCTACAAAAATATGTATTTTCCTTTAATTTCAGTATATTCGTCAACGACTAAAATTTCAAACAACAAGTTTTTTCCACGTATTTCCATAAAATATTACAATAGCGGATTATTTTAAGGCTAAAATTTTCAGATAATTTTTTGAAAACAATTTGAATACGTTAAGCCCCTGCGAGCATAATATTTCGAAGTTATTCTAGCTATTAAGAATAATTACAAATAGTATATTATGTATCAAGTTTGATAAACGCCATTTTATACACGAATTTAATTTAGGCACGAGCGAGCTTGCGAGCGAGTTCTTAAATTAATGAGCATATATTAAAGTTTATAAACTAGGTGCATACTATACTTTTTCTACGACAAATACTTGTTATTATCTTAAAATGATTTAAATCAAATATTTTTATAGAGCGCCATCTATGAAACAATAGGGTAATCTGTGTGTCACCGTCAAATGTCAAATTTTTACATTTTATAAACACAATTATAAAGGTTATATATCGAAATGCATTTCTTGAAAATTGACAGTTTTTCACAGTGAAAGTAAAGAAAATGTTTTATGAGCACTTTACAGTGGAGTCCGTGCCCGAATTTAAGTTATAGTTTACTGCCGGTGAAATTAAAAGGTCAGTACAATGTTCATATAAACTTTTCAAATATTGGCGTTAAGAAACTATTTAATACTTTTGTATTGAGATAATAAAATAATTTTCACAATTAGTATTATTTTACAAGAAAGGCAATTTATTTTAACGATTGTATGACATTTGACAACTATCAAATAACTTAAAACTAACATCAGCCCGTGACTAAAATCATGTTGCTAACTTCAGCCCGTGACTAAAGCGCCATAAAGCCACAACTTGTCAATGTGTATTTAAAATGTCACTTAGTGTTATGGAAACATGTACGATAATGGGCGTTTTAAAGGTGGGAGTAGAAAAAATACATTATTTTATCCGTTTTATTTATTTATAACAAAATATTATGCAAATTAAATAAAAAAAAAATGTAAAAAAATGTAAATTTTTTTAGTATTAATATTTTGAAAAAAATTTAAAAAAATAAAAATACATAAATATTATGTAATATTTATTTATAGTATGTTTATTTATTCATAAATACACAAGCTTATCAGATAATTTTAGTAAATGTAGTTTTTGGTATTATAGCCAGCCATAATATGTTACAAATATTTATTTTGTTATTTGGTGTGTGTTTGAGCCAAGCAGATCCATTAAAGAATAAAGACCTATTTAATATACACGTGGTTCACATAAATGATTTTCATGCCAGGTACATCTATTTTTTTTTATAATATAAAATATGTAAATCTAATATCATACAGGTCAGTATATTAAAAAATGACAAACTATGCTTTTATACCCCTAAAAAATTTCACAGTAGATTACTTAAGAGTCAGTAAGTCAACGGGGTTCATTTTAGACATTTATAATATAAAACATTTCTAAAAATTAAAAGAAATTATTTTTATAACCATTTATGTAGGTGTTACAAAAATTGATTCTATCAGATTATTTTTGAATTTTGAATTAATTTTAAAATATAAAGTTTAGTTTTTTAATCTGTCAATACATTCCACCCTTTATTGAAAACTGTACAAACCCTAATTAGGGGGGTATTGTCGTACTCAGAAAAATGTGAATTTTCGATGAAAAAAAGTTGAGGAGCTCCCCCTCCACTCAACCCAACTTTTTTTCCTTACCATTGGTAAGGGCTAAAAATTATAATTATGAGAATAACGAATTATATATTATAAGTGAGACCCACACTGTATATGGGTAAATGTATTGAGATGTCCCCCAAGTGAAAATGATTATTTTTTATTTTTGGTTGTTTCACTGTTAGTCTAGAATGGGGTTTTTGGGAAGCCACTAGGTCTAGTAATATCATAAAATAAGTGGTTCTGCACTAATGCAAGAATTTTAAGAAATCATACATTTTGAATAGAAGAGCTTCACAATAGATAGCTTCACGGAGGTTAGGATTTCGTATGTTTTTTTAAACATCCCTTCGTATATTTGAAATAAGTTATTGTATCTTTTGACACCTTAATTTTTTTTTAAAATACAATTGTACAGGGTGATCCCCTATAATGTCGTCCCCCTTTAACTTTTTTATTTTAAGGGCCCCAAAAAATTTAAAAGTGTGGTTATGTAGGAACTAAAAAATACTTTTTTTTCTACTTATAAGGAAAATTGAAAAATTTATCAGTATACAGGGAAAAACAAAAAGTTTATTTTTTTTCAATGGATCACCCTATATATGTATTTATTTTTCAATTCCTTGTAAAATTCTAAGCATATTTCATATAACATACCATATACCTAAATTCAACCGTTTCTGAAATATTTAAATTATAATTTAAATATTTTTAAGATAATAATTTGAAATAGTTTGTCTTTCTCTGTCTGAGTACGCCATTTTTACTTATTTAACAAGACATATTGACATAATGTCACTATAGTAATTTATTTTCAATAAAAATTTTGGTATACTAAGGCTTCTTGATTTCTAACAGTTTAAAAAAACATTTAATGATAACATTTCGAATGCGAATATTTCAGAAACAGTTGAATTTAGGTATATGGTTTGTTATATGAATTATGCTCAGAATTTTACAGGGAATCGAAAAATAAATTCATATATAGGGTGATCCATTGAAAAAAAATAAACTTTTTGTTTTTCCCTGTATACTGATCAATTTTCCAATTTTCTTTATAGGTAGAAAAAAAGTATTTTTTAGTTCCTACATAACCAATCTTTTAAATTTTTTGGGACACTTAAAATAAAAAAGTTAAAGGGGGCGACATTATAGGGGATCACCCTGTACATACATAAAATATTTATACTTACTAAGATATTGCACTTCACGGTGGATAGGTTTTTAAATAGCAAATTAATGAACTTAAACTTTTGAATTATAAAACAGCAACACTCTTATCTGCATATAAATTCTAACTGACCTTCAAGAATCACATGCATCTATAATGTCGTAAACACAGGTTTTTGCTTATTTAAAATAATTAAAGCGCCATCCGTTGCATAAAATTTAAAGCAAAAACAGATTTACGGAGGATAGAATTAATTTTTGTAACACCCACATAAATTGTAATAAAAATATTTTTTTTTATTTTTAATAATATTTTATATTTGATTCGATTGCTTTGGATGTGTTTAATTTACTTAGTGAACTGACATTTTTAGTATGCTTTTACTACCTCAGGTATTTGAAAACATATAGGTTAACCTAGAAAGAGTAACAGTCACGGAGGATAGGTTTTAGACTTTTAAAACATTGTAAAAAATAATTAATTGCGGTTAAAAATCTGGAATCTGAGCGGTAATATCCACTTAATTAAGAAAGATGATCAAAATACAATAAAAGTGTAGGTCAAAGTCATTTTGTTTTATTAAATATCACGGGGTAACTCCATCGGGGGACATTTCGTGAGATTCACCCATATGTTAATAGGTTTGAAGAAACTGACAACTGGGGTAGAAAATGCAGTAAAGACAATTGCATTGGCGGATTTTCAAGACAATATGAGCAAATTTCCCGTTTAAGAGACCAAGACCCAAATTTGATTTTACTCAATGCCGGAGATAATTTCCAGGGAACATTTTGGTACACGGTCTTTAAATGGAATGTCACGCAATATTTTATGAAAAAACTTAAATTTGACGCCATTGTAAGTAAAATAAAACAATATAATTAAATTTTTTTAAAAATCTTTTTAATTTTCTAGACATTGGGTAACCATGAATTTGATGATGGTATTAAAGGAGTCACGCCTTTTATGAAATCCATAAATGCTCCAGTAGTAGTATCAAACATTGATGACTCTTTAGAACCAGATTTTCAAGGTTTATATACCAAAAGCACAATTATAGAGAGAAATGGAAAGAAAATTGGAATTATTGGTGTTATAACAAGTAGCACTTCAGTAAATATACTTAAGTAATGAAGGTTCAAATATATTTGGTTCTAAAAAATTTTTAAGGCCATTTCTGAATCAGAAAATTTGAAATTTCTTGAGGAGTCTTCCAGTGTTAACACTGAAGCTGAAAAATTGATGGCAGAAGAAGATGTGTTCACCATTATAGTTTTATCTCACTGTGGTTATGATGCGGATAAAATCATTGCAAAGAACGCTACCAAAAAAATTGCTTTGATTGTTGGTGGGCATTCTCATAGCTTTCTTTTCACAGGTGGTAAGAGACTTTTATTTTTTCCAAACCAATTTAACATTAAATTTTATAAATGTTTTACAATATTCCATTTTAGAACCATCTCCTGGTCCTGATGAAGTGGTAGGACCGTACCCTACCATAGCATCAAGAAATGATGGAAATAAGGTTTTGATAACACAAGCGGCAGCTTTTTGCAAATATATTGGAAACATAAGCATTTTATATAACTCTAAGGGAGAAATTGAGAGTTGGGAAGGCTCGCCTATATTTTTAAATACGACTTCACCCAAAAGTATGAAAAATAAAGTTTTATTAATGTTAACGACATATTTTATTGATTGTTTTAGATGAAAATATTGATAAAGACTTGCAACCATGGCAAGAAGAGATTGATCAAGTGGGAAATAAAGTGTTGGGAAATTCTTTAGTACATTTGGATGGTTATAATTGTTATCAGAAGGAATGTACGATGGGAAATATGATTACCGATGCTTTTGTGTACAATGTAAGTTTCAAAAGCGATTAAATCTTTTTTTCTTTAAAAATAAATTGAAATAGTTTAATTTTGTAATTTTAGTACATAAGCAAGGCCGAAAAAGGATCGTGGACATATGCATCTATTGCCATAATCAATTCTGGTGGAGTTAGAAGCTCCTTAAATAAAGGAAGTATGCATGTAATATTTATAAATAAAATATATTACCTGGATTGACAAAACAGCTTTATTGACAAAAATTGAATTTGTTTAAATAATTAAAATGTTACTTTTTTGTAGCATTGATTTTTAAGTTTTTTTTTATAGAATTTATAAATTCTATAAAAAAAACTTTTATAAAATGTCGTATTTTTTATTTTTAATTCAAAAACAATCTAATTTGTTTCCATATATAACAAAATTGGTTCATAAAATTTAATACCAAAAAAATGTAAATATTTTTCCACAAATATTTTTAACTAGTTAATAAACCATTTATATGCACAATGTACTGCAAAACTTTTACAATTTCTGTTAAAAAAAGTTGTGTAACAACTTTTTTATTTAAAAATTATATTTTAATTTTTTTTATGAACATTAACAATTTTTACTCAAATATAAACCAAATCGAATAAAATAGACAATCATGCACCAAAACATTAAAGGGTGTTTTACATTTTTTGGGGAATGAAAAAAGATATTAATTTAAACTTTTAAAAGCGTTTATAATCCATGTAAGCCTATTTTTATAAACTATTTTAAAAAAATTCTACTTTTGGTTTAACCGAAAGAGACGCCAACTTTGTTATTTCAAATAGAACACCCCCATATATTTTTACATTTTTTAATTCTGAGTAAAATTACTTTACCATGTCCCAAAGAGAATAGTTTTTGAGTTATTAATTTTTTTCGATAAAATTTGACAAATGCGCGTCAATCATAAATAGCCTATAACTTTTTTGTTATTAGAATATCATGCTGATATGGCGCTGGAATTTTTGGAATCTTAAAACATTTTTAAAATTCTTAACATTTTTTAACAAACAAGGCAAATTAGGCTAACTTGAAAGGTTAATAACTTTTTTATTTTAAATACAAGGAATTTTGTTTTATAATCAAATAGGATTTTAAAGAACCTTTCTATTGATGTTACTATTCCCTATACCTAAAGCTAATAATTTCAGAGATACTTAGCAATTTCTAAAATTTTAAATACCTATTATTTTGTATCAAGAAAGCAGTACCACGTAATCTGTCATTTTGAACATTTAATGGTGTCAATTTTTTAAGTTTTTATAAACAATTTGTTGACTAATTAAGTGTTCTGTAAATAGATCAAAAATAGCAGTCAGTATCTATGGTATTCTTACAGTAACAGGTGTATATATTTATGAAATTTTAATTTTTATGTTCAAAAACAAAAGTAATTTTTCACATTTGAAATCGTCATCCATAACTGGATCTTTAAATTTAAATGTGCCCAATCATAAATTAAAAATATTTGAAAGAGGATGTTTTTATTCTTGAGCAGTGTTTTTCACAAGCTTCAATGTAATATAAAAAACGAAAATTGTTTTAATATGTTCAAAAACTTGTCTTACTGCATTTAATTAACCTGGAGCCATACAATATAAATGAATATTTATTGGACGTTTTGTGATTATATTTGTGATTATTTCCTATATATATATATATACATATATGTAGTTATTTTTCATCATTTTCTATATCATATGTCCATGTTAACATATATGGTCATTCCACGTTACTCGGGGATTTTTGTCCCGCCCGTCACAATTAAAAATGTATTTTAAAATATTGTTTATTATGGTTTCAATAAGTTATAAGCACAATAAAAAAAATATTATAAAATATTAATTTAATAACTTGTGGTTTTTGATAAAAAACAATAACAAGCCAAACATTTTAAAAATTTAAAAGTTATATAACCAGTATTTGCTAATTTTGAAAAACTCACAAAGCTATAGGATGTTAACTAGATAAGTAAAGCACTATCTCATTGGAGACGATAAAATAAAAAAATTATTTTTACAAAGAACTTAGTCGTTAAAAAATTATTTATAATAACCTGTAAAATTGACGCCATTAAATTTTAAAGAAAAAAATTAACAACTTGAAAACTATTCAGTATTAGGACATGGAATAGTAATTTACTTTGAATTTTATATAGAATTTAAAAATTTAAAAATATATGGGGTGTTCTAGTTGATGCCTTTTGTTTAAAATATTACAGAAAAAGAGACCTTAATGGATTTAAACTTTTAAATCGATATCTTTTTCCTTTCCCCAGAAACTAAAGGACCACGAATGTAAAACACCCTGTATATTGGGTACATACATTCAAACAGAATTTTCTTTCTTTAATCAAATATTTTGAGATTTAAACGATACATTGGTACAATTTAATATTTTATAGATATAACCTACAATGACATATTAACTGCGAATCCCTTTGGTAATACAGTGGACGTAAGCGAAATTCAAGGAAAATACATAAGACAGTTATTGGAAAGGGTCGCAGCCCCTAAACTTAAAAGTCGTAGACTAAACGCCGATATGAGATTAACGCAAGTTTCAGGTAATATTTAAAAATAGTTTTTCTACTCCCACCTTTAAAACGCCATGTTTCGATGACACTAAGTGACCTTTTAAATACATATTGACAAGTTGTGGCTTTATGGCGCTTTAGTCACGGGCTGAAGTTAGCAACAGGTTTGTAGTCACGGGGTGAAGTTAGTTTTAAGTTAGTTGACAGTTGTCATACAATCGTTAAAATAAAGTGCCTTTCTTGTAAAATAATACTAAATGTGAAAATTATTTTATTATCTCAATACAAAAATACAAAAGTATTAAATAGTTTCTCAACGCCAATACGTCACCCTAATATAACAAGGTTGTATGTTAAAAAACCGAAAAATTTGAGTTTATGCTTCTACAAGGTTTTATGTAATCCACCCTTGACATACAACTTGAAAATAACTCTATATATATATATGTATACATAGAATATACATTCTATAGAATTATTTTTATGTGGTATGTGAAGCTTAGGCCACGTATAATCCAGTAGAAACCTAGACTTAAATTTTTCGTTTTTTTAACATACAACCTTGTAATATTAGGGTGACGAATATTTGAAAATTTTAAATGAACATTGTACTGACCTTTTAATTTCGCCGGCAGTAAACTATAACTTAAATTCGGGCACGGACTCCACTGTAAAGTGCTCATAAAACATTTTCTTTAATTTCGCTGTGAAAAACTGTCAATTTACAAGAAAATCATTTCGATTTATAACCTTTATAAATGTGACATTTGACGGTGACACTCAGATTCCCCTATTGTTTCATAGATGGCGCTCTATACAAATTTTTGATTTAAATCATTTTAAGATAATAAGTATTTGTCGTAAAAAAGTATAGTATGCACCTCGTTTATAAACTTTTCTATACACTCATTAATTTAAGCACTCCCTGGGCAAGCTCGCTCGTGCCTAAATTAAATTCGTGTATAAAATGGCGTTTATCAAACTTGATACATAATATACTTATTCTATATATTTTTTCTTTCAGGAATACATTATAAGGTAGACCTCAACCGACCAGTCGGAAGCAGAATTCAAGACTTGAAAGTTCGCTGTCGCAAATGCGATGTTCCAAAATACGAAGATTTGAATGAGAATAAAATGTATCGCATTATAACTCCATCATTTTTAACGCAAGGGGGAGACAATTTAGATATGTTACCAAAGAACTTGAAAAGCACTATAATTGGCCCTCTGGATGTCGATGTTATAATTAAATATTTGACTGACAAGTCTCCAGTTTATGAAGAAGAAGGAAGAATTAGTGTTATTGGTGGTGAATAGGAAATACTAGATAATACTTATTACTAAAAACGTTTATAATTTAATATAAATACAAAAAAATTCAAAAATTTCATATACTTTATTTTCCATTTTGTAAGTGTATAAGTTTGCGATCTGATAAAATAATTATTACACGCCTAATGAAGGTAACTGAGTGTGAATAGAGAGAAATAGCTGAAACTTAAGGAGACCAGCGATAATAGTATGTGAACTGCATACCAATTAATAAGGATCTGGTTCTATTTAGTTTCTCCCTTTATTCACAGAAATTCCCATAATTACACAGATTGTTGAATAAACTAATATCACGGGTTTACAAAATAAAAACTTTAATTAAATGTTTGTTTATAGGTTTGAAAAATTGTATCTATGGAAATGTTGCATATTTGAATTAAATAGCTACACTGTTATAAAAATCAAAATGGTTCACATGACTTTGTAGTTTATAAATTTTATTTTTAGGGGAGAAAAATATTTTTTGGAAAGTTTTGTAAAGGTACTATGCAATTTTGTAAGCATTTTGTTAATTTCATAGGTTACAGATTATTTTGTAAATGTTTAACAAATTATTTTGTTGAAAAAGTACACGTGATTTTAGGCAGCCAATGAAAACATTTCCTACAACAATACGCATCAACAAGTTCAATTGACTTCAGCGTCTGCAACTTATGTTTCTGCTTACTTTATTCTAAATCGTAACAACTGTCCAGAGTGTGTATAATATAGGTATTACCAGAAATGTGTTATTATTGTTATTCGGATTCTTTATACCTATTTAACGAGTATGCAAAGTATCCGAAAAAAGATGACATCACTGATTTTAAACTGAAATTAGAGGATACAGCGGAGTGGGTAAAAGTAACGAAATACATCAGTAAGTATTGTAGTAGTACTATTAATTTAATTGTACCAAATTATAATAATAAAAATAATAATTTAATGAATTCAGAATGGTGTGTTATTTAATTGTGTTTATGTTATTTTTTTGTTTAAAAAATTAATTAATATAACACATTATTAAAATTATTTTTATTTATGTATCCAATTTCCAACATATACCTTTGTTACTAAAGCTTCAAAAAGGTTTTTAAAAATAAGGCCCCTTTTAAAAATTGCAACAATTATGGATGAATTATTGAAAAAGCAAACTACATATTCAATTAGTTAACAGATTACAGTTGGTTACAGTTATGTAGACCTGGATTAACATAAAATTAAGTTTTATTATTTCGTATAAGAAATGTTTACTTCACTCTCAATTTTAAATATGTATTTTTAATTATAGACATTTTAACAGAATGTCTTTCCCTTTAAGATTTTTGATGTTATGAAGGTCTTTGACTTCTAAAATACCTATAAATCGTACTATACAGGTCCAGAAACCTGTTTAAGAAATTCTGTTTAATCAAATATTTACTAATAGTTAATATTGTTACCAATTAACACATCACAAGTGTTCGCCAATTACTTCAACACATCGTCCGTTCATTAGCTCGCGGATCGAATGGATCCCAGGGATAGCCTTTACAAGCAGCCATGACTTGCTAAACCTTTTAGATAACGCCAAAGAAACAAATTAGTGGGATTAAATCTGGTGAACGCGCAGGCCAGGCTACGGGACCTCCTCTTCCAAACCATCTGTTGGGAAATTTATGGTCTAGATACTGGCGCATGTTCAAACCAAAGTGTTTTTTAATAAATCCGCAGAACATTTAGCAAAAAATTGGGGTAAATGTTTGATATTAAACTGGTAGGTAGTACGTAACCTATTAGTTTATCTGCAATAATACCAGCCCAATTTTCGGTAAACAATTTTTGCTGGTGTTTTTTAGAAATCAGCATGATAATTTTCATAATTTCAAATGTGTCTGTTTTTGAAGTAAAACTTCTTTGGTGGCATTTTAGGGTAAAGTGGGGGAATGACGACCAGCGGGTAATAACGATCATCAAAAGTTTCATAGTAAGGTAATATTTATGCACAATATTTTAGTAGCGTCACCTAGCCTTTAGTAGCCTAACCTAACCAAAACAGTCGGTAACCAGAAATTCTACATTGGCTGCAGTCAATTCGTGTTTATTTAAAGCAGGGTAAATTCTTGTAATATTTTCAAGTATATAATTAGTTGTTTTGTTATTAATATTGAATACCTGTTAATTTTAGTTTTTTATGAATTTAATAAATTTTTTTATAGCAACAAAAGTCAAATGTCTTATGGCATCACAAGTCAAATATACCTGGTTGCGATTACCTAGCACTTAATCGTAATTACCCTGCACTTGGTCGTAATTACCCCGTTATGTGGGAAATGACGACCAAAAGCACTTTGTTAAGAATTTTTTTTTTTTGGAAAAACTATTTGAGTTGTATTTCTGAATTGATTCATGAATAATCTTTAGACTTTAGTCTTTCTATTCCGATTTTCAAAAAGTAAAAATATTGGTTCAAAATTATTTTATGGTTAATTTTTCTTAGGTGGTCGCCATTCCCCCTCTCTACCCTAATATTTGACAAGAATGTAAAGTGAATTGGAAAAAATATAACGTTCCGAGATTTCGTTAAACGAGAGAGAAAAAAGATATAACGTAGAGAGAACGAGAAAGAGAGCTATACGAGTGAACCCGAGTGAATCCGATCGCACCTCCCCAGAATTGCAAATTTTATTAAAGCCGTATTACAGCCGGCAATTCTTATGCAGCAATTTTTCTTGCAGCAATTTTTCTTGCCATCTAGTTTTCAAGGCCGTCTTGCATGTTGTTTTACAGCCGGCAATGGCAAGAAAACTTGCTGTTTATTACCGTGCTACCAACCGAAGAAAAATATACGATTTTGTAAACACTAAGTTTATTTGTTATTTAGTGGAGATATTTAAAAATTAATGAGTGAAATGGATACTAGAACTTTGAACACAATGCCAATCATAAAACAAATAACCTTAAACTGTTTAAGTCAAACAGCGTCTCTCTAGGGAATTTGTAGTAGGGTTGGTAACATAAAAGTTACCAGATTTCACCCCAGAATTGCCGTAAAACGGCAATAAAAATCCATCCGGACCGATTTTCGGCAATTGCAAGAGATTCGTCGAAATGTCTCAACCGCGCATGCCTGTGGCAATTTTCATTGCAATTGCCGAAAGATTTGCCGGCTGTAATACGGCCTTTAAAAGTGAAACCGTTAAGACCGCACATGTCTAAAGTAATTGGGTAGCGAGATACGATTTTTTATAATCGAACAAACGGGTTATTTTTAAGTCATGTTTATTGGAAAAACTAGAATAAACAATATTCTAGCGCAAAATTATTTAAAAAAATAAGAAATGTTACCAAATGGTTTATTTCTACCAAAAATTAATTAAATAAACAATTATGAGTACGGTAGAGTAGTGAATATTCTACTGTTTTTATTATTTTATAATAATTATTTGTAATAAGGCGGTGTAAAGCCGACAAAAGACAAAGGTGTAGCGCACTCAAAGCCTGCCGCTCTTTAGGCGCGTGCCGAAAGCAAATTCGCTTCTGTTTTTATGCCAAGGATATAAATTTATTTCAGATGAAATTAATCAGTAGTTAGTACACACATATTGGCAAAAAGTCAATAAAAATGCTAAATCTTGCGTGAAGTGGTTGTTCACTTTGAAGCAAAGGTTTTATGATGAGGTTGCTGGCGTCTAGGATATCTCTGTTCATTTTATGTGCAGCGTTTTTTATTACAAATTTCTTCTTGTAGTTTTAAAAATGTTTAACTAACTTTTATTCCTTAAATGGAAAGTAGTACAGTTGACACGGAGTCGGTATTACTTTTTCCTCTAATTCGAATATCCAACTTTGAATTACTTTGACACAATTACTTTCGTTTAGAGTTTAACATGTCAGATGACAAATCAACTTAAAAATTTTGTAAATGTGTTGATTCCGAAATCTGTAAACTTAATTAGGTTAACCACATTCAGGTCCATTGGGTTTAGTATCTTTTCGGTTTAAGCCCAAGGAAATCATGCTCAGATAGTTTAAAACTGTTTAGCATAATAATGGTTCGGAAGGCAAATAAAATATTTAGTTGCAACGGAAGTAATTAGTTTTGGTTAGAGCGTGTTTCGCCATCAAAACAGCAACTCCGTACAGGGTAGAGGAGCGAGCGCGAGCTCACGGATTAGGAACGTATTACAATGTTGTAACGGCATTGGACACAACATATAAATTCTCCGTCTTTATTGCATAAAGTACCAAGAAACTTGGGCTATAAATAATCCGGCATAATGGGTGTGTAATTTAATTACAATTAGATACACAACTTCAGTCAACTTTAAACAGCCCCAAGGAAATGAGTTATCGCGCGCGATTTAATTTCAACTTCTGCACAATCAGCTCTCGCCACATTCTTGTCAAATTTTAACTTAAAACATATAAAAAGTGTAAAGCGTTAGTCAAACATATTAAAAGTTAAATATTGATAAGGCTTTACAGGATCTTAATGTTTTTTCAATAGTAACTTTAGAAAAGTGTAAAATTATTTTTTTCATGGCAAAAACAAGCTGATTGGGCATCATCCAGTATTATATTATAGTTGATTCACCCAAAGATATTACGATATAAATGTATTATTCTTTAAGTGTATCTTGAAAACTATCTTATTCAATACATACCAAAGTCAAAATCATAAACAAAGGTCAAAGTACATAAAGGATTGTGTAAGTTTAACATTCAGCCAATTAATGTTCCAATATCAAAGGGGTAATTCTCGTTAGCGATTCTCTTTGATATATCGAGAAGCAAGGCAGTTTCCACCTCACCTGAATTGATTTGCTAATAAGTACATGTATCATATATTGTTTCCGTATAAATGGCTTTACTCTGGATTTATGTCTCAAATGATATAATAATAGGAACACGAATTATTTCATAATAGAAAGGTACGCTAGCTGTACATTCTCCAGATACAATAAAACTTTTTGGGATAATATGTTTAGTTTGTTTAGTTTCATGTAGTTAATCAAAATAAAAAAATAATTATTTGGCACACGCGATTTTACGACGTTGCAAATTATAAATTAACATGTTTACACGGGTTTGAAACCAAGCAGCCAAAAAGACCAAAAATAATTAATCAGCATTATCTAATCCAAAAAACCGTTTTTCTTAATTATCTGCTTTACTTGCTTTTATCTCGAATAGCTCAAATATCCTCGACCATTGTTATAACAACTCCCTACTATTTTATCTTTGATTTTTAGTAGATAATGGCAAACAGTAACTATTGAAAAAAAAGTTTCAAATTGCAAAAACGTCCATCAAGTGGCGAATTGTAAAAAAAATGTCACTTATTTGAAGATACCCTTTGTACGCTGTGGTAAATAGATAGTTGTAAATAGTAAAATGGTGAAATGGTAAAATGGTAAAATAGTAAAATAGTAAAATGGAAAAATAGAAAAATAGTAAAAAAGTACAATGTTTGAATGGTAAAATAATATAA